AGTTTACAATACATTGTTGCATCGTATATTGTTTCTTTCTACCTCATGGCAACACAAGCAAATGCTACGAGCTAAGTGAAAACGTTATTTCTCCCATCGTGGACGAGAACACACGATCTGCCTTTGGACTTCGCTGAATCTCGAGCCACGTAAAAGTGATATTACAGGACGTCGAGATTCAAGACCAGAACGATTGAACATTGATTCGTGAAGTCGTTGAATATATGGTATGACGCGACTGATTGCGTTGTCGAAGTCGATTTTAGAATTTCAAAACCCGTATGACGTCATTCATATTCGCTGAGGGCGGCTGATGAGCATCCATTTATATTCAGGTTCATGAGTGAAACGATAATACAAGCAAGCAAACCCCTAATTAAAACAAATTAAGAGTGCTTGTAAACCTAAGTCACACGTGTTTACTACTGATAGTTTGAAGCACAAAACACCAAAGAGTATCGGGTTCGGCAGTAACACTATAACAAGGACAACAACGTACCCAACAGGGTACCGGAGTCGATATCGCAATCATACCAACTTCGAGGCTTGAGATCGAAAGGCAGACAATGTCACTGATGTAGGCAATTGCTGACGAGTAGCGAGAAGTCCCCCAATTGCTGGCGAGTAGTGAGAAGTCCCCCAATTGCTGGCGAGTAGCGAGAAGTCCCCCAATTGCTGGCGAGTATCGAAAAGTCACCTGGCGGTACGCGATTTTGCTTGGTCCTTCCTTTTGCTTTCATTATTATGACTGTACTTGATTCGAGCAGCATGATCCCGACCTGTTATGTATGAATTGTATTTCGTTGATGACATGCGCGCTTCAGTTTTCTGTTGACAATTCTCAGAAGTTTTCAGAGATGTGCTGAAGAAGTATGAAATCGAAAGCCTATTGGAAACATAACATACCTTCAGTGTAAGTGTCTAATGTGTATTTGTCCCCCATACCGACACCAAGAAAGGCATGACCCGAGTCCATATCCGGCAATGATACCCTCCACAGTGAGAGATACTCTTCTTCTGATGGCACTTCCTCAATCAACTCCAATGCACTCCGGATGTTAACAAGTTCCTGTGGCTGACAACACTGCTCAGCATGAGCCTCGATGCTTTTCCAACACGCTAAGACTTCTTGCTTCGTCTGCTGTAATCGCTTTAAGAACACTTCATATTCATTGACTGCCCATGTGTTCATCGAAACACAGTATCGGGAATGGAAGTGGCCTGACACAGAATAGTCTGCTTTGATCCGGTGCGCAAGCAGGGCTATCAAAGGTTCTCGGCCAGCACCCACATGAGTGACAAGAACCCGAAGCATCGTTGGATCACGCGACTTGTCTGCCATATCCACTAATGAAGCCAATTGCAACAGTGTTACCCATATTTTGCCTACATCTCCACTCACTCTGTAATAAGTTGTCAAGGTTATCAAGTTGTTGAACTGGGTGTTCGAAAAAAGGAAAACAGAAGATCACTGAGCTGATACCAAACTTACAGCCGTATAGGTCGACAGTCAGTATAATATAAATATGCCAACCAAATCGTCGCAAATGAAACATACTTTTCCTGTCCTTGACCATTGTCAAATAGCCAGTGATAGACCAGGTTACCACCCAAGCCTACCAATTGTATATCCGATTGAGGTACAGTGAACACTCGAGACTCATCAAGGATGAATAAATTTCGAATGCGGTATTCCTTGGACCTATTTTGCATGTGTCAGCATGAAAGAAATTGGTGGTGAATTGTGTAAAATAGTACACAGCAAATAAGAGGATTCCACAAGTTTAGGTTCAGGCTGCAGAGACAAAGAACATGCAATGATTGAATGGGAAACACAGGGAATTAAGCAGTCTAACAAATGCGAGTACCTTATCTTCTCTATGACTCGTATATCCTCGTCTACACCCCAGACAGTGTACACAGGAACTCGAAATGTCAAATCACCATTAATATAACTGGGTAGCTCGCTCAGAAAGTTGCGCTGTCGGAGATATACACGCAATTGATTACTATTTTGCATAGAAAGTGCACGTGCACATTCAGCTGATGACAGAGAGTTTGCCATGCTCGACTGTAGACGCGACTCTAAATCACCAACTCGCATACGATTGTAGGATTCATCGTCATAGAAACCGAAATTGCCAGCATTGATTACCGCCGTTGCCTTCGTTGTTTGAATCAAATTGTTCAGATAGTTCAGACGCCCTGCAAATCACATCAGAACAAATGAGTAAATAAATTGCGATCCAACGCAAAAACAGGAAGCTTTGCGAATAACCACTATGTAGTTGATTTTTGCACACAATTTTAGTTTCAGAAAGCTTGCACAACAATTGCTACCTGACGTAGCCACCAGTAAATAAAATCATGAGTGCAGGTAACGCACCATTCTCCGGCTCACAACGGAATGTATAGTGAATATTCAACAACATATCCCAAGCGAGCTTTAGAAGCTCCAGAAACACCCGGGGGTCAGCTACACCAAGTCAGCTTCAGTAGCTTTTTTTTAAGATATAAATCGATGATTGACTTCGTTATAACTGTACAACGTACAAACAATTAGCCTCCTTCGTTGGCTCACTAACAAGACAATGATAAACATTCAACATAGAAACCTTTCAGAAAGAAGTGGATATGAAATTACTCACGTACGTCCCAGAGGTGATCGGATTTTATAGTTAAAAATCACTGTAGAAAGTTTTAACTTAAATCCAGATCTGAGGTTTATTGATCGAATGCTGGTCGATGGTCATGCCAATTAACACACTTTATCGCATATCATTTCGAGCCTATATGTTCTAGTACCAATGCTGCACATCTACGTATCACCATCAATCTTGACAAACTGAAGCATCCGTATGTATAAACATATAAATAAATAAACCAACAAACATACAAATAGACATGCACTCACACATATACACGCACAAGCACACACACACGTACACACACACACACACACACACCCACATATATATATACTATATCTATTTATATATAGGTTAATGTCTATATGTATATATACACACATAAATATAAGATATATATATATATATATTCGTAAGAAAAATAAAACAGATGTTAATGTATATATATGTATGCAGATTTATATATATAAATATAAATACACACACTTACACACACATATATACATAAAATATAATATATATATACATACATACATATATATATATATATGTTTATACATATATACACACACATATATATCTATGGATACATGTGCATATATATATATATATATATTAAGAACAAGGCATATTCAACAATATATATATATATATATATGTACTTCTATGTTTACATGTATATAGAACACAAGTCAACAGCCACATACCTCCACCCTCATACAAGTGTATATAGAATGACTACCGATAGGAAAATATATATACGTACCCGTATGTATGTGTATGCCTAAAAGATCTTGTACATTAATTTTAAGTGGCTAAATAACGATATATATATATATATAAATATATACTTACTATGCATTCTATATATGCGAAAGGAAGATTTTAAGTATATATATATATATATATATTTTAAACACACACATACATACGTGCTTGTGATATGCATTGGAAAATTATGTCACAGTATCAAAATACATACATACATAGATCCTTAAACACACACATACATAAATACATCACACATACGCTCTCTCTCTCACACACATATATATATATATATATATATATATATATATATATATATATATATATATATATATATATATATGCGCATGTGTGTGTGATTTGCATTGGAAAGTATGTCACAGTATCAGACTCTGCATATATTCTACCACAAATCAAAAGTGCAGGAGTTTTCTGGGAGCGCTTACCATGGACGTGTGCCACCATAAGGATTCGAGTTCGCTTCCCTGTATTCTCATAAATGTAGTGTTGCATTGGTTGCATAGCAGCTGAAGGTGGCATGTGTTGCACATGTGAGCGACTCATATACTCTGCACCGCCAGGATTGACGCGGGGCTGTACTAAGTATGTTTTGGCTTGGAGATTGACAATTGACTGTTTTCTCTCTCTTTTTTGCTGTTTGCTGAATGATTTATTTGTTGACGTGTTTTGGTACGAAGATGAGTTCGAATTGCTTGAAGAGGAGATATTGTTCTCCTGTGTAAGCTGTGTGTCATTCTCTTTCGATGTAGAAGTTTCTGAATTTGTTTGTCCGGCCAACTTGCTGGACATATCTTCAGTTTGTGAAGCCATAGTGACAAAATATAGTAGTAGAGTGTATGATTTTCTAAAATGAATCCGATATTACAGATTGTGTAGTTCGATATTTAGATAACTGTATTCACATTTCACAATCGTCCTTTGCCGTGAACCCCCACTTTTGAGAATCCTGATGCAAACAGCAGGAGAGATAAATACGTATTATGTATTAGAAAACTCGAAAGCCAAAGCAGCTCGAGGGGCGCTGCTCCACTATTCTGTTTCTCGCTTTCCAAATTCCAACTTCCACGTCTTCGGTCTCCTCTCTCCGAGAGTCTCCAGTCTCCAGTCTCCAGTCTCCAGTCTCCAGTCTCCAGTCTCCTGTCTCCGGTCTCCAGTCTCCACCAGTCTCCAGTCTCCAGTCTCCAGTCTCCAGTCTCCAGTCTCCAGTCTCCAGTCTCCTGTCTCCGGTCTCCAGTCTCCACCAGTCTCCAGTCTCCAGTCTCCAGTCTCCAGTCTCCAGTCTCCAGTCTCCAGTCTCCAGTCTCCGGTCTCCGGTCTCCAGTCTCCAGTCTCCAGTCTCGGTCTCCAGTCTCCAGTCTCAGTCTCAGTCTCAGTCTCAGTCTCAGTCTCAGTCTACAGTCTCCAGTCTCAGTCTACAGTCTCTAGATCTAC